AGAAGTCAGACTCTAGGTTTCACAGCGGTAGTCCATAAAGCAACGGGTGATGTCATAATGACTCTGGCCATCTTTTCTATACAGTCTGTGGCTCCCACTGCCTTCTTCCTCAATCTCCCCCATCACCTCTCCCTTTCTCCCTGTCCTGTACACAAGTGTTAACGTGCAGGACACACAGCTGGAATAGTGTTGCGTGAATCAGTTTAAGTCACTTTGTTTGTTTCCCAGTTGCAGAGCCAGGACTATCTATAAACCCTGGATTTCTAGCTTTTTTTTTCTTTTTTTCTTTTCTGACGCATCACAGAACTGACAGGCGATAGAGGAGAGAAGATATTCACTAACCTTTGAGAACAAGTATGATGGATAAGACTCATACACAAACCTGACCTTTAACTTGCTCCCTAATCTTAACTTGTGCAGTGAGTGCTGAATCGCAACCATAAAACATGAGCAGATACTGTACTGTAGCAGCTGCTATTGTACTTACGAAATCAGAATAAAAGGAATAATGTTACCAGCGAATGTTCTGCAGACTTGTTCAGTATAAACATTTTTTGACTTGCAAGATACAACTGTTAAAAATGTTTCTTTATTATGTTGATCAAAATGTAATTGGGGGCTGCAAGGTGGCTCGGTGGTTAGCACCGTTACCTCGCAGCAAGAAGGTCGCTGATTCGCGTCCCGATGAGGACATCCAGGATCTTTCTGTGTGGAGTTTGCATGTTCTCCCCGTGCAGCGTGGGTTCTCTCCGGGTTCTCCGGCTTCCTCCCACACAGTCCAAAAACATGTTGAGGTTAATTGATGATTCTAAATTGTCCGTAGGTGTGAATGTGAGTGTGCTTGGTTGTCTGTCTCTAAGTGTAGCCCTGTGATAGACTGGTGACCTGTCCAGGGTGTCCCCTGCCTTCACCCTAAGTCAACTGGGATAGACTCCAGCCCCCCGCAAACCTAGTGAGGATTAAGCGGTGTATAGATAATGGATGGATGGACTACTGTATATCCTTTTGTCGTGACTACAACATTGTTGAAACAGCACTGTGATTATGTTTACACACTTGCAGTACTCAGTAATATAGACATCAAAATGAAGACGGTTGTTTAATAGTGTCAATGAAAGTCAAAACTCAGATGCATCCAAAGCGGTTAAATTCACTTCTAGAAACGTAATGTCCAAAGATGAAGCGGAGGACAGATGGAAGCAGTCAAGAAGGAGCAACTTGGAGACAATAGAGCAGGAACGAGTGAGCAGAACTTTGATGAAAAAAGAAAAAAAAAGGATGGGATACGTCAGGATTAGAAGGTGCGGCAGAGAGCGGAGGATGTAGACAGATAGAGGAAGCGATAGGGCAGGGACAGGAAGAGGCGCAGGGAGGAATGTGTCGGGGCGAGATACACAGGACGATATGGACATATTTACAGCCCCAGTCTCCTTTCCCAAAGGATGACACATCATAGTGTGAACAAGACAAACAATACATCTACTAGACTGTCTGCTACCACCTGCCAACACTTGGCTTTTTGCTCTTCGTGGTACCACCAGTGTGCAAACATACCGAGGAGCCAAGAGGAGCTTGGCTGCTCTAATAGGACATGAGCTCCCCTGAAAACTTAATTTGTAAAATTTTCTTGAAAATATTTCATTTTTTGGCATGCATATCTATTATTTATGTATCTTTATCAACATGCATTATGTATATTCAAGCTATTATTGATGTGTGATTCATGCATGAGGGTGATTCATCACTTTAATAAAGATACTTGCGCTTTTCTTGTCTTCACCATTGACGCATGGTGGCGTAGTATTTTCAGCTTCACCGATTTTAGCTCAAAGATAAGGTAAAATACAAACTTTCTTAAAGCCAACAACCATATCTAGCCCTCTGTGGTGCTGACAGCAAGCAGCAGTGGCTACTTGTCATTTTTTTTCTTAATCTTATCATTCATGTTCCTATTATTGGGAATAATAGTATATAAAAGTTTAAAAAAAACAAAAAAACTTGTCACTTCTGACCGTGAGAAAGCGAGAGAGAGAGAAAAAAAAGAGCTTCCCGAAACCCATAGTATAGTTCACACGCCGTGTTTTTCTCTGCTAGTCCAAAAACCTTTAAATGAACTCTACTGTATGACGACAGCTTGCATTTGCACCAGAAAGATGACTGTGACTGTTCTCCACCAGAACAAAGAGTGCAGATCAGCTGGGTGGTCGAAACATAATTCAGACTCGGGTACTGGAGATAAATCATGGTCCCGCAGAATGTTATCGTACGTAATCAGTCCTTTTGGCCACGTGGCTGTTGCTCTGGGCTCTTTGACAAACACGGCCAGAAAAGACGTCATGAAAAGGAGGAGAGTTGATTACAGGAATAGGAGAGAATAAACTTGAAAGACAGAGAGAAGAGAGACTGTGTGAAGCTTTCAGTGCAGTTTCACACAGGAAATAGCAGTGTTTCCTATTTCCCCTGGGCAGCATCAAGTACAAAGTATGACTGGGTGGATTTTAACAAATGAACAAACAAAACGACTGTCTCAAAAACATGATTTTTTTTAGATAAAGAGCTGCCAAAAACAAACAAACAAACAAACAAAAAAACTGCCATCAGCTGCATGGTTTAATGTATCCTGTAGATATATACAATATTAGAAGTTTCCTTTAAACTGTAGCTTCCTTCCTCAATCATTATCACATTGATAATAATCTTGTTGTGAACTCACACTGAACTCGAACAAACACGTTTCACATTACTAATGCAAAAGAGTATTGATGACGCAGTGTGAATGGGTGCTTTGATGTGCCTGTACTGATAACCGGCTGCTCTCATCTGAGCATTTGTACCTGAACTACTTGTGGTACGTGTTTGTGGGAAGCTATTGTTGTGTACTTGTATATCATCATCAGCCTAAAGTAGAAAGAACACGGTGTACAGTGGTACAAGCGAAACTCTCACGTTGCTTTACCAGAAAACTGCGCCTGGTGAATTCTGTGGTACGTGGGGACTTTCAGTAGCTTCTGGTACGTTTAATTCCATTGATTTGGCCTAAATGTACTGGAGGACTGGCTGGAGGTGAATATAAGTAGCAAAAAGCAAAAGATCATCTGTTATATTGCATCTCATTCATTTGCTAGTTTTATGCACAGGGGCAGTGATGCTCCATATATGAATGATACGGTGGCCCATCAGCTGCTCCCTGGAGTACAGGACTTGCCATGACATCAACATCTACACTGATTGGTTGTCTAGGAGTTAGCTATTATTAGAGTTTTTTTTAGAAAAGTCTCTGGTGGCTAACATTTTTTTAAGTAGAAAAATGGGACAAACCCGTAGGAGACTGTAGCAGTCAGTGTTTTTGTATCAGCCTATTCAACTTCTATGTTTTATGAGTGTTAATGCCACTGGGGACACCAGAGTCAAGTCATATTCAAAACATAGCAAAATGATAGTAACGGTTGCAATCCAGGTTGTTTCATTCACCAAATGCTCTGTTCCTCTTTTCACTTTTTTTTTTTTTTTTTTTAAGCAAAAATGATAATAATAATGATGCTAAAATTATTCGTTGGCTCCTTTCTTAACACTCAAGGACACCATGCAAAACATCCGGCACAACTACACTGTAACTGAGGATCAAACATACGATACCATAGACGTGACATGATTTATTACAGGTACGCTGCTCTGAACAGATGTACTTTTGAGATATGATTTGAAATATGTGAAATAATCCATCTGACGGATGTGGTTAGTTGCAGAGTTGCAGAGCAGCTTAAGACTTTGACACCCACAGAATCTAAAACCGATAGCAGAGCAGCAAATTAAGACCCTACAACACAGGAAGGGGTTTAGGGGTGGAGTCGTCTGAAAGGTATAGGCAGGGAGGGGACCTTGTAATGCATCCATTGTTGATAATTCAGACAACATTATTAGAATTTTGCACCCTGCATGTGTAATCAATATGTCCTTTGCAATGTTGTAACAGTTACAACTACTGATACTTTGCAAATAGTGTATTTCATGAAAACGCTGATTGTAGTATTTTGTTCATAAGCTACCTGTGGTGACTTGTTGGTCACCTGACAGGTCAATAAAACTGGAAACAACCACAGACACAAACATGATTTAACAAAGAGACAAAGAAACATTTGGTGAATAAAGGATGGTGTGCTGGAGGAGACACGTGCACCTTGTTTTAACTTTGGTGTAGTTGAAGCTCAAACTGATTTTCAGTGTGTACATTCTCACAGTAAGAATATTTAGCACCAGTGAAGTAATGGTAGAAATACATGTTAACGCTATGGGGGTCTTTTTTGGCTGGAATTGTATCCCAATAATAAACAGGCATGAACAAACATAAATGTGAATCAGCCCAAATGCCTAAACATCCTCAGATAAATCTTAAGTCAGTAGTAAAAAATCCAGGCTTGTGTTAAACCGAACATTAAACCAAATTAAGTTTGAATAAACCAGTTAGATAATTTAGGCTAATTGTAATAGAATTGATAGGCAGACTGTGACTGCATTATTGAGTCTGCTTTTATATTAACCACAAACAGGTTGCATAAGAAATGAGAAGTCATTTTCATACTCTAATAAAGCAAGAAGCAGAACTGGTACTGCAGAATGTACCAAACATAGCAATAACAAGACACTCAGGCTGCATACTGTTGCTGTTATGTTTTAAACTGCTCAGCTGCAGAAGTACATCTAACCAGCAGCCAAAAACAGAAGTTTGTTAGGGGTTTTTGGCAACTCCCACGTGTGAATGTGAATGAGGGTGGTGCTGAACAGCAGCTCAGAAAAGCTACCCTGAGTAAATAAAGGTTAAAAAAACTAAGGTTTCCCAGAGGGCACATGGTGCTGCCGAGCTGTCAGTACACTGCAGACACACGATATACACCAAAAGCCGCTCCTCGTGCTCTGATAGGCTACTGTTCTGCTGTGATGTCACCGGGGCTTGCTTATAAAAAGAGTGGAGGGCTCAGCTGCTTCAAAGGGGCAAGTGTGGTCGAGGGCTGGAAGAGTGTGTTTATACATGAGTGAGAGCAGAAAGCGACAGGCGAGGCAGAGTGTGTGTGCGTGTGAGTCACACACTTGACCTAAAATTTATAACTCAGCAAAAAAAATGAAGAAGAAGCTGCTGACAGATACGTTATAACAATACTTGGTGTTGTGGATTTAAAAGCATCTGGAGTATGAAACTAGTGGACTGAAGAAGAGGACAAAGCCTGGAGGTAAGACCGCTAACTGCAGTTTTAAAGCCTGATCCATATGTTTTATGCAGACACTGGTTTCTAAAGGGTGCAGGCACATGCATATGTTAAAAGCACCATCTACTCATGGTGACAGAATGCACATTTGGAGTGTATATTGTCCAAACTTTTTTGGAATTATTACAGCAGTTAAAGGATTTAAGTTGTGCAATTAAAACATCTCCAGGTTTCTCTGGAGTCATCAAACCATTTAATGTCAGCTATGGTTTACTAAAGTGACTCTAACCCTAACAGAAGTGGTGTTACTGTGCAGGTTACTGCTGACACTTTCACGTAACATATGTCTCAAATATTTTTAAAAAGATCAGTCGGATGAAATGAAAAGCAGCTCTGACCAAACAGAGAAATGTCAGAATTTTCCAGTGAATCCAAACTAGCGTTCATCTTCAAATGTTTATTTCATCATGACAGCAAAAGTGTTTTTATGTCAGCTATTAGAGCGTTAGTGCTTTTCACATATTGGTCCATTTATTCTACTGAGTGCAGCAAAAACTAAATGTTCTGCGTGCATTTTGCATGCACTTGTTGCTGCATGCTGGTCTTTGTGCATGCACTATTGTGTGCACTTCTCTGTGTTAAGTGCTCGCTGTAATTACCATCACCAAGCTACCTCTGCTAAAATATTGGAATTTTTATGTCTGAGTAAATCTTTTGTGTTTGATCAGTGGCCTCAGGGAGCTGGTCAAGTTTCTCTGTGTGTAACTGTTCAAACAGCTCAGACAGGCACACGATCAGAGTGTGTTTCACAAGGTTGACTTTATATCAGTGCGAGTAACGTGTCGGGGTTATTGATCTGATCACTAGGGGCAGAGAACAAAGCCCCATTACAAGGGTCATCAGAGTAAAGAGTGACAGGGTCAGCTTCAGACTTTATGGTGAAAGCAATACCGACCATGGTAAAAGCATGAATAATGAATGAATGGATGGAATCTTTTCCTTAGTTAAAAACAGCCCAACATTACGCACAGTGTTGATCGTCTGTCAGGGCTACTCAATGCTGGACTTCATTCATTACAACTGAAGCAGCCCTCTAAGTGTAATTAATGAAAGATTGATTTTGAAAATGAGTCTGCAGCTAACTTTCCAGTAGATCCATCATTTCCTCGATGCTACGGTTTGCAAGTGTGATGAAGCGAGGAACATTTTTCCAAATGATGACAAATTTTTTTACACAATCCTGCTGCTGTGAGCCCCAGACAGCACCACTGACAGCATACTAATAGTCGTAATTAATATGTTCCCTGCAATAGCAATGTAATGGCACTTTATTTGCTAAGGGCAGGAATTAATTTAATTTGTGAGATGATTGTCATAAAACAACAATCTCGTTACCGTCCACCACCACCTTTTGAAACGCATCCCAAAATTCAACACTTTGCTCATTGACCACGGGAGAGCTGAGTAAACACTTGTGAATCAATGCGCCTCTTTACAGCTGGCATTAACATATGTTGTGAGTGTTTGGATTGTGCTGGAATAAAGCCAACGTACACACGAATCCAAGTGCACATGCACACTGAAGATCCAGTTATCCAAACAACCTCTGGATGTGCATTAAAAAACATGAACCCACGCTGCTCCATTTTAAGTCTGCACACAAGAGCAAGGCAAAGAATAAATACCCAACCACCTGTAAAGCAAACAGGCAGAAGCAGCTTAGTGCAACAATAAGTGTCTTCCATAGGATGACTTATTGTATCAACCGTTACCTACTTAACAGAACTTACCTTCCCACAGCTGTCAAGATGCACGGTCAGATTAGTAGCAAGCATCACAACGTGCTGCTGCAGAAGCGCTTTTATGTTCAGCCAAGATACACCGCATGAATAAAAATGAAAGTCTTTTTTTATTATTATTAAGATTTTTTTCTGGTCTTTTTCGCCTTTAATGGACAGGATAGTGAAGAGAGACAGAGAAATGTGGGGAGAAGAAAATAAAAGTCTTTTTGTAGTATGACTAGGAAAATAACTGACGAATAACTGCATAAAATGTCAAAACACCCACATGTGTCACAGCAATCAGGGAACGTTCCCACAACATTGCCGAGCATTACCTACAATAACGTTCAAAAACAGACATTTTAATGTAATGCTCAAATTTCGTTTAAGGGATATTTATCATTACGAATAATGTTCCTGTGAGGTGAAATGTGAACTCAGCATTTAGAGGACGTTTTGAGGAAGTTGTCAGATTATGTTCAATGATAACAAAAGAGGAAGAATTCAAAAATAAGTTTTTTTAAGGTGTTATCAAAGCCTCAGAAGACAGAATGTGTTCTCATAAAATACTCCTGTAATTTAAATATTACCAAAGGTGGAACATTTTGCCTGCATTTTGTTCTGATGTTTTGCAGATGTTGCTGTTGAGAATGTTCTTCTATAAAACCTTCCCACAATGTTACATGATAATAACGGAAGGACAATCTCAATGCAACATTTGGAAAATTGTTTGAGGAATTTTTAGAGCAGCTTTACAGAACTTTAACTTGCTGTAAAAAAGAAAACTGGCAACTGCAATACATGTCCTTTAAGCCAATAAGACAGCTTCTTTAAGCTGCTTGTTCTTGCTCTGTCACTGCAAACACCATTGCCGACATGCTTCTGTAGGGTTTTAATTAAAAACGAGGTAATTAACACAAATTCGACACTGATTATACGAAAAGGGGGAACTGAGGGCGGAGGTTGCAAACAAAAGAAGTAGAAGAAACAAAAATTCAGAAATTTAATCCTGTTTCGCATTGCCTACACTCTCGATGCAAAATAAAAAAAACACAAATACGAGTAGCATTCCTGTTTACTAATTAACATGTTTGAACTTACAAATGAGTCTAGCCCTGAAACAAATTCCCTAAAGTGGCCCCTACCTTCTTCTAGAAAACTGGTGTCTTAAATTCAAATTCAAACAAGACAACCAATTTTAACCTTAAATAATATGACAAACACACTGCTCTGTTAATGTAATATTGTTCACAAAATGGAGAAAGAAAGTACATCATTGCAATTGGAGAAAAGACTTCACTCCTCTCTTCCCCAAAGAAGAAGCACAAATGTAATAGCTTTTATAGTAAACATAAACTGTTTTCCTATTTGCTTGTTGTAAAGAAGTTCATCTTTTACAAGAACAAAAACCTTTAAAGGGTGTAAACATATCCTCTGAAGTTTATCTTAAACCTTAACCTTTTGACACCCTTAGGCAACTCTTATCCTGAGCTACATGAAAGTTACTCTTCTCACATGAAACGGTTCCGAAACAACAAAGATTAAATGAACAAATAGATAACAAAGGATAACCTAAGAGCTTATGACTGAGTTCAGTTTCACAGCAGCACACTCTAGCTGCCACTGCAAGACGGCATTTTTAAACCAGGTTGAAATGGCTCGACTGGAGGTCAGGTTGGTCCAATTAAACAAGAAGGAGCAGAGGGGGGTCAATCCACAGCAGAGAATTGTACCCACCAATTTGCTCAGAAAACCAAAGAGAACAATCCCACAAAAGGGAGAAGGAATGCAGTTGGCCAGGGCTGTGACATATAGCATTGGCCAAGCTCCAGTTCTTACCCAGTGTCAACCAATGAGGTGGACTGATCAGCTCAGAGGCCTGAAAGCTGCATTTAACTCTGCACTTGAGGTACATAATAAGGTACCACTTGTTCGGGAGTCCTGGTTGGGTTTAGACAGAGATGTTTGCTCTTTTCTCTCCCTCCTCCATTTTTCTTTGCATTGTGCAGGCTAAATAAATGAACAGATAAATAAATTTGCCAATTCACAGAATCATGTTGCTGTGGGCTGCAGACAGTATATAACTCAAACGTAACCCTATTTGGGATTTTGGGGGTCTTTTGGACCCCAGGCTATTTGTTTTAGGTGACAGGTATTGTTTTTTGTTGGTTTTTTTTGAAGATTTTAAAAAAAAATATATAAATGGAAGGACATTTGTCATGCATTTGGTATAAAAATTATATGAACTTATCAGAAAATGTATTTAACATAGTAAGAAAGTCTATAATGAATACTAACAAATATTTTGCACATATTCTTTCTTGGGGTCCAATGGACCCTGAAAGACCTGCTATGTATAGCAACATGAAAGTCCTGAACAAAAAGTGTTGGCTGTAAAAATGAGGTTAAAGGGGAGCTGATAGCAACATGAAACACAAAAAGCCACAGGCTATTACATCACACCAAGACGAAGCGCTGCAAGGGGACACATGCTATCACCGCGGGAGAAAAACTCAAAGTCATGTTGACCACTGAACTTGATGAACTCATGATAACACCAGGGAGCGCACAACTTTCTCAGTGAAAGACCACATATGTTCACCTCTAATAGGGTAGCAAGCAAACCAATCCTCACCAACCAACCCCAGTGAAAAGTAATTTTTCCATCTGATACTGCTCCAGTTTATGTATTTTTTGTTGGTGTTATTTTTACCCTCAAAAAAAACATTGTTCAAATGGTGTAAATACAGTTTGTATTAACTGCGTGTTCACTTTTCACAGGCACAAACGAACATGATGGACTCAGACATGTTTTGCAGCAGCTGCCCTTCCTTACTATGTGCCCATGTTACTGCTGTTGTTTGATGCTATAAATGTTTAATCATGAGTACAAAAGGGGACTGGAGGACACAAACTGTGCAAACAGAACAACATTTCAACACTACTGTGTCTTAGCACAGTCTTGTTCTCTTTGCCTCGTGTCCAATTTAATGCTGATGAAGACACAAAAATGTTGAAACACTGGTGCTTCAGTTCCCTCTTGTGCTCTAGAAATTTGCTTTGCTTGAGTTGAGAAGCAGCTGATTACATTGTGCTTAGCTGGAAGATAAAAGAAGAACCCTGTTTTTACTACATGTTGGTTTATAAGAAAGCATAGGGGGAAATATCACACACTACCACTGTTTGGTTTTACATTCAGAATTTCATGCACTAAAAATCAAACAGTGACTCACCTTCTACTGTGTGTTCTGTCAGATCAATACCAAATGAATAAGAACAGAATTAGAGCCTTTACAGTATTCAAAGCTTGGGCTTGTCCCATTAGATTGTGTGTAAACTCACTTCAGTGTAGCTTGCATAAAAACTACAAGTCCCATAAGTAGTATTTCAGCTGACCACGTGACAGACAAAGAAGAAAACAAAGGAACTAATACAAACCTGATAGAGTTGCACATTCTATTGACAGTGTATAATTACATTTAAGCCATTTTAAGGCACAAAAAAAATCTAATTTCATTTAAAAAACTACTTCTAAATATGTAATTTTGACAAATGGAGATGAGTTTTTAGGGATTTAATGAGCAGAGAAGGACTTAAAATTTATTAAACAGAGGGAGAGTCTAATTCTAAGTCAGAATCATGTTGCATTAGGTTTGCTTTGCATTATTTCCATTCTGACCAAAGCTGTGTTGTTGTGTGGGTTCTGCTGCAGATCATGGACAATGTGAGCACCAACCAATCACAGCACACCAACTTCACTGATTTATCACATAGATCATCGGAGTACAGTGATGCAGAACTCGTGCTGCTCGGTGTTGCAATGGCCATTCTGGTTTTGGCCATAGTTTTTGGTAAGTTATGAAGCTGTCATTTAACTGAGTGGATGGATTGTTGAAGGATCAAAACGAAAACATACCTCTAAAAAATGATCCCTCCTCTTCTGTGCAGGTAATGTGATGGTGATCACAGCCATCCTACGATTTCAGCGGCTTCAGACGGTCACCAACCTCTTCATTGCCTCTTTGGCTGTTGCTGACCTCATTATGGGCGTAGTTGTGGTCCCCTTTGGCTCCACTTACATCCTGCTGGGAGTCTGGAAGTTTGGAAACTTCATGTGTGACTTCTGGACAGCTACTGACGTGCTGTGTGTGACAGCCAGTATTGAAACACTGTGTGTGATTGCTGTGGACCGCTACCTTGCCATCACTTCGCCGCTTCGCTACCCAACACTGCTCACCAGGTATGTAAGAGCTTGGTTTAGTTGTATCGTATAAATGTCTTGGGTGAGTATTTCAAGACAATCAAACAGAAAAAAAAAAATCCCTGTGCACATTTTTACAAGCACAAAATCAGGTTTAGAAATTTCCATCCTTGGATTCTATATTAATACAATGATAGTGAATGAAAACAGTGAGTCAAAGGTGGATGAGTGCTACTGCTACACCACTACCTACATTTTCAAATTAGCCAGCATGTTGCACACATTGACTGCATATAAAGATGGAGAAACCTTCCATGACGTCAACCATAGGTTTCTTGAAGAACGGTTTTGAGGCTCAGTGTGGTGGCTCCAGCTATTTCCATCTCAGTGGTGCCTGACCCCACGTAACTCCTGGCTAAACCAAAAATCAGCAGAGATAGTACATGAGTGGAGCTGAGGTGGGTCATGCAAAATTTTTTGGGTCATGGAGTGTCTTTCAATGATACTCACCTGTCACTCAAGGGGTCCCAATCTTAAATAAATCTAACTTTAAACCTTATTACATTTTAAGCTGGTAAAATATAGAAAAATTCACACCCCGTACAGTTGCCATGATCAGGAAAAGTAGCTAAAGAGACCAAAATAGTTTTTGCACCAGGCTGTAAACATGTTTGAATCTGCTGTAAAGTCGGTCATTTTAACATGGGGTTGATGGGGATTGACTCGCCATTGGAGCAAGCTCCAAGTGGCAATTTTAAGAACTGCAGTTTTGGTTTTGCTTCAGCATCAATCATCAGCCCCAGAGCTTTCCACTTGGTTGCATACCTATCTGCACCCCAACCAGCGAGGTCGCATCAGGTACTTTCTTTCTACTGTCAAAAATAAACCCTGTTTTGACATCACTTTTTGGGTTGTAACCAAAGATGCAACACGCTGCAAGATGTTAGCACTTTGAAGCAGATTTAAAACTCTAAGAGAGATCGTCTTAATCAGCATTGTGTGAACACATTTGGCAATCTAAAAGTTGTCCACCCCAGCTATGAGCGGTGTAATGGCAATGACTAGCTGTGTATAACTCAATTTGGATAGTTTTCCTTGTTGATTCTGAAATCTTGTTTTGTTTCATTCAACTTAGGGGAGAACGACACTGCTTGTATACATCAGAGTCTGTTTACAGGTCTTAAAGAATGTCTCCACCAATGCGACAAAGTTATATAATACTTTCCTTGGCTCTGCAAGCCACCCTTCAGTGTCTGATATTGCTTTGAGTCAGTGTCAGTTGGGGGTAAAGACTGGTCTGAAAATGAAAGTATCTGCAGGTGTACAGTTACAAAGAAGCGAGCTTAGCAGACGTCTATAGGCCCGTCCTCATCTTTGCTCGAGGCTACAAGCTTGAGGTCGAACTCTGTCTGAACCGTCTCCAAACTAATTAAGTTGTACTGTGTGTAGTGTTTTGTGAAGGAGGAAGAATGCAGTATGGAATAAAAATGGAGGTATCTTTGGATCAGTTCAATTGATTTTCCATCATCAGTCTTGGTTTAGAGCATCTTTGCATTTTGGATAATATTAAGCCAACACATTATCTTTAACTTATGTGTGTTGTCACTCGCCTTACCTGTTGTTTCTTCACCTGTGTGCACTCTTTTGTCTCCTGCTGCTGACCAGGGGTCGGGCCTTTGCAGTGGTGCTGGGGGTTTGGATAGTGGCCTCCCTCATCTCCTTCCTTCCCATCCATCTGAAGGTGTGGGTGTCAACAGATGAAAAAGCTAGCAAGTGCTTGGCTGCTGAGGACTGCTGTGAATTCAACACCAATGTAGCGTACGCTGTGTCGTCTTCAATCGTATCGTTCTACCTGCCGCTGGTGGTGATGATTTTCTTGTACTCCCGCGTATTCCAGGAGGCTCAGAAGCAGCTGGAGAAGATCAGAGGGAGGGAGAGGCACTTTTATAACTTGCATTACTCTGCACAGCTGGCTTATCCTGATGATAGCCCTGCAATGAATAAACGCAGGGCAGGAAATGAGGTGGGAGAGGTAGCAGGAGAGGACAGACTAAACATGCAGAAACCGGGAGATATAGACATCGGTACAGATGAAAAGGAGGGAGAGAGCAGAGCAAGGACAGAAAAGGGAGAAGGAAAACACTCCACCACAAAGCGTCTTAAGTTCTGTCTTAAGGAGCAAAAGGCTGTGAAAACTCTGGGGATCATCATGGGAACTTTCACTCTGTGTTGGCTGCCCTTCTTCATCCTCAACATCCTCATAACCTTCCTCGACCTGGGGGACATTAAGGTGCCCTTTAGACTCCTCAACTGGCTGGGATATTCCAACTCGGCCTTCAACCCACTCATCTACTGCCGCAGCCCTGATTTCAGGCACGCCTTCCAGGAGATACTGTGTCTGAGGGGCAAAGGAGGAGGAAGATGGGGCGGGAGGAGAGGATGGGGATGGTGCAGAGAGAAAGATCACTACGCAAAGCCCCCACGTAGGCTGAACGCAGACCTGAATGGCGTCAGGAGGCTGGACGTTCAGCAGAAGTCGGGGTGGAAGGGCAGTCTGGAGAGTTCCATTCAAGACAGCTCACTGACTTTGGCTCCTCTTCCTACTTGCTGCGAGCAAGTTTTAGATGTAGCTCCGGGTTCCCTGACCAACTGGCAGGCTAATAGTTCTGTTAATTGGAGTTGCAAGGAAAATCTGGCATCGATAGCATGATAGACCTGTTAGATTTCACATTTTGTTGCAGCAAAAACCAATTTGTTGAAGTTCATGATGTTGGCATTTGGTTGAATCACTCCTCTGTCATTGTTGCTGCGTTTTTCCTTGTGATCACTGCTCCTCTTTGATGCTGGAGTTTTTTCAGGTTCCCTAAATAACAGTTTAAATCACAAAGGCACACAGGTGAGACATATTCAGCAGTGTCAGCTTTACAAGAAATCTGACTTATACTTTAAAATAATTTTTGAGGCATCATATTGCAGCTTATTTAGCTACAAAAATTAGATTGACGGCAGATTGAGTGGTGCATTAATCACAAACACAGCATAAGTGACACCAAGCATTATCAGCTTCATCAAACTGGCATTACTGCAGGAACATAATTAGAAAGAAACAGCAAATGATTGAAAAGGTTTTAATGATCGCTGGATATGAAACCATCGAGAGTAATGAAAGTATCATACATGCTTGTTCATTCCAAAATGCTCCTTTATTGAAAGCAGTCAGATATTAAAGATATGAAACTGCCAGTTTCTTATTCTCCTGAGAATTATGGGTTAAGTGCCATCACACACACATACTGTATTGTAACATTCGAATGTCTCGATCTACTGATTTGTAAGTGTCGTAGCGGTTGTCAATGTTTAGCTGCGTTTTACTGTTTCACAGTTGAAGCAATAGGTTTTGAAACCATTCTGCGTTTTAATCATTGTATATTCATAACGGACTCTGACTGAGCAGTTTGGATGACTAAGATTCATGTCAGGAGAGATTTTTCTGCATTTTAAAGCTCCTGAAAGCTTGTCTTTTCTCATAATTGAAGCAGAGAGAAAAACAAATGCAAATACAGAAAGGTCCTGTGGCATAACTAAAAACGTAGAGTGTTCCAGTAGGTTGCTGTCACTCATAATATGAAGGGAGACAAAAGTTTTCAGGGCCTTTAAGGTGAATTTTAATGAGCATTTGGATGAAGTCTTTCTGAAAAGACACTGACTACCTATGGCCAAGCTGCCACGTTAATGAAGCCAGTTAAGCCAAACACACCCTGGTTTCCAACTAAACCCACAAGGCAGGAAGCATAAGCAGGAATTTAGCACCTCATTTGCACTTCTAATAACTTTTTCCGTCAGCAACAAAAGCACAAACCACATATCCAGACAAAACCTCTGTGAGGCAGAGATAAGAAGCAAAATGTTATTTGCCCTGTGGCTAAAAGTCTTATTTGAAACAAGGGGTCTCATTTGAGGCTCACTTATTAAAACCCAAGATTATTAAAAACAGCTTGACTTGTTTTTCATTCCGTGCTGACAAACCTCATAACTGGTCCAAAATCATTTACTGCTGTATATTTATGTATCAGATAAGCATCTGAGACCCAACCTCGTGAGTATCATGAGTGCTGTCTCCTTGTGTTCGTTTTCTTTCATCACATATTGGCGGGGGGACTATTTTGTGCCTCTCTACAAACGTCACTCATGTACCCACGCGTTCCTTTTATCCTGCCTGCTTAGCTCTGTTATAGTAAGAACACTGCAATCTGTCAGACAGAGCTGGAGGGATCAGTTCCAGGGAGTGGGGTCTGTTTCCATAACGCTGCCGGTTACGCTCATTGTAAAAACATTGCAATCAGATTACTCATAGTTTAAGTGCTTCGCGTCATATATTGCACTGAACAGGAACGTTTTTACAATGTTTGGATTAGTTTTCTTTTCATCCTTTTCCAAAATTCAAAAAGTGATATTGATAACGTAGCTGCATGTAACAAAGGCGACCTACAATCATGTGGCTAAATTAGAAGTAAAATGTCCCCAGTCCTGCTTTTATATGTATGTCTTTTTCTTGTTTCGTTTTTAAATAAAAAAAAAGGAAGGAACAACAAACAAAAATAAAAACGACATACATCTGTCTGAATAAATATATATATATGTGTTTTATGTACATGGGATTATTGTGGTTATTAACTGTTTGTGGAGTTTAAAGCTCAAACCATTATGTGTATTACTGTAGATTTGCTGTCAATTTAACTTAACAAATGGGTGATGTTTACTACATAAGAGCAAATTCCGTAAGTTGTCATGAATAAAAGAAGTCAACTTGACATATATGTCAACCTCGTCTTGCACCAAAATGAGTAGTTGCGTAAGTCCACAGCAAAAAAAAAAAAAGTTTTAGTTTCACAGTAAAGGCAGAAAAATTGTGAGATGCTTTTTTCTATTGGCCTCTGTCAAGTGAAGGTTTTTTTTGCTTTGCACCTAAAAGGAGCAAACAAGTCCAAATAAAGAGAGTGTAGAAGTGTTGCTGTATGGCAGGATTAAGCGGTGTAGAGATAACGGATAATGGATGGATAAATACTCATACTTCAGACAACAAAACTAGTTTATCATCATTTGGGTTAGAATACACCCATGCAAATGATAACCACAAAGTTGTGGCTGTTTTTTAGGTTGCTAAGATAACAAGTCCCTGAAATATCTCACAATTTGACTTTTTCTGTGAAAATAATACATTTTGTGCTGTAGGGGGGAAAAATGTTGTTACAATTATCCATTTTGGTGTGAGACTGGGTTGTAAACTTTTTTTTAGTGGCATTGGCGACATTGACCCGTGTCATAAATCAACAAAGGTCAGATTTTGTATCACATCTGTTTTTACATGTGGACATTAGAATAGAATTAAAGCAGCACTGAAATACAAGTCTATGCTCCTAAAAGGAGAGCTGTGTAGTTTTATATTTTATCTGTGCATCTTGAGACACAATATAAATGTACAAAACTGAAACTTGCTTTGTTAAAACTGAACGTTATTTTCGGGCTTTAAGCTGAGGAGAGGATTCTATTTTCTACCTCCATCAGTCACATGAATGTCATCTCATCGCTGTAAATATTTATTCATAAGCTGTTTTATATGTTCGTGAGTAAATGAATGAAGTTTAAAACTTCACTGTTTACATTTGTCACTTAGTTATGTGTTTGTGTGAGTGTCAGAAAGAGAGAGAAAGTTAAGAAAGAGAGGGCACAGATGAATAAGGTTCAAATTTGCTCATTATTATTACTGTTTGCAGTTTGTTTTCTAAAAACTAAGGAAATTTTGAGGGTGGTTATCCAAAAAGGAATCATCTAAAAAGTTCATCTTAGCTGTTTGGTTTCAAATAAACAGTAAAGCCAAATGTTTGGATGTTAATTACACAAGTTAATCTTGTGACCAAAACAGTGCAGACACGGTGTCTTAAGGTGAATCCAAATCCAGTCTTTCCATTTCGGAGTGGTAGCTACTCCAAGTTTTCATCTTAGCATTGGTGCTCACTGAATGGAAACACAGATTTTCCAAGTGTCCAATTTGGCACAAAAAAAACAACAACTGTGACACACTGTTGACTAAGAAAAGCTATAAAGATAACCATAGTCTCTCAGAAGGAAAAGAATTTCCCTTGACTCTGGGAAAAGTTTGAAAAACCTTTCCTCAAAAGCCTCTTTGTCAACAAATAAAATGACATAAGGAAATGTGATTCTCACTGCACATCACCTTTAACCTTTCCGACTAAGCCCGTGGGACAGAGGCGTTTTGTGCTTATTCAGTCATCCAGGTTATTCATGAAGACTCAGCGTGCACGTGTGCATTCAGGTTAAAGTGTACGTGTAATGTGTGTGATTGTGTGCGTGTGTGCTTGTCAGGCATGACGTACAGTGGCAGGTGCAGTTGGTCACAGCAGCTACAGTATCAGCTGCTGCGGAGGAAATACAATCGGCCATACTGTCTCAATACACACTCATACACACAGCTTTACACTCAGACATGAAGATGCACTGTGCGTGTGTGTGTGTGTGTGTGTGTGTGTGTGCGCGCGCATGTTTGTGTGTCTATGAAGTGTGACATGTTTCCATGGAACAAGTTCCTAATTTAGGTATGTTAAGGTTAATGTACAACATGCATGCCTTTACGTTGCATGTTCTATACGTTAACTGTTACTGTGGCCACGTTTACTGTGTTGTTATTTTTTTAGTGTTTGTCTTTGGTGACGTAAAATGTGGAATGTGCTCTTTGAAAGTGTTGTGGGTTGTGTCTTTTGTTACCTTCACACAATGCAGTTCTACAGACTTTTATTGGTTGTAAGTCCCAAATCCGTACCTAACATGTGCCAAGTGCACTTTTACGTGTCTGCAGCAAGATGAGAATATCAACAAATCTGTGAATTTAAAAAATAATTTGGTCTGAAGTTACGCTTTAGATTTGATCTGAAAGTTTATGCAAACATGTAAAACAGCTCAAGTTTCATCTTTAGATGTGATCATGTGGAAAATTATTATGTTGAATACTTTATTATGAACACTGAACATTTACCTTCAAAATGAAAATCAAAAATGAAGTTGAATATTGAACTCTGATAGTAATGCTTTAATGTTTTATTTGATTTTCACAAGGCAGATTTGAATAAATGGATGTTAACAGCTGATCCCACCAGCTTTTCTATTGTGATTCTTCAGACACCTTTCCTCTCTACCTGTCAGTTTACTCCTCTATCCCTCAACCTTTACCCTCATTTAAGCTCATGGTGTTATATATAATTCTTTAAATTATGAAACTGAGACTATAAGCAACTGCAGAAGGAAAATATATAAATGTTTTACATCCTGTCAGCTTCCTTTTCCACATGTGAGTATCTGCTCTCACTTCCCTGTCAAACATTTGTCTGGGGTGTGTCCGTGTTTTATCCTGTTATGAGGTGTTAACTGGCATTATAGAGCTGACAATGGGCAATCACATATATCCTGTGCGATTACTCATGCACAAACACACAAACATTTACATGCACGACTCCAAAAGAAGGAGCATGTGTGTGTTGACACACCCCTATTGACGGACAGATGCAGTTTAATCCATGTAGATCAAAACAGAGACTCCCTGGGCTGTGCCCCAGGCCTTTGCACACAGTAAACAGCCTGAGGTATGCCCTCTAGAAAAACACTCTCTCTCTCTCTCTCTCTCTCTCTCTCTGCATCCCTCGAATACAGGGAGAGCATTTGTAAAAGGCAAAGACATGCATTTACAATGCACAACTACAAAATGCATGCAGATATATGCATACATGTATGCATGCATGCACAGATGCTTGCACATTATATGTACAAACATACATGCAACAGCATGTTAGCATAGACTGGTTATGCAGAACATACATGCACTGAGACACAATGTCCTGAGAGAGAGTGTGTTACAGAGAGAGAGAAAGATGTGCCAAGTGTATCTTATGATCGCAGAGAGTTTATAGATGGTGAGCTTGTGCTGCTGCCTGAACTGAAGCCGACCCAACATCTCCTGCCAAAAAAGCAAGAAAGACTGTGAGAACAGGCAGATAGGCTGTCTGTGTGTCGGTGTGTCTGCTGGTGTCACACATGTATAAACACAACGCGTTTCTCTGAAACTGTCATGAAGGACAAAAGCTGTACTGTGTATCCAAGGGTGTGCTACAGGCTACAGGTAGGACTTTCCAGCAACTAAACACATTGCTCCTTCCCTAAAGGCCAACAACCTGCACAGTATCTGTAGTTGCAACACAAAAATGCTTCAGATCTTTTCAGTAGGGGAGGGCGGGGGGGTTAGATTTGTGTTTTCCAGTTATACATGGGAGTTGCAGATAGCCGGGAACACACAGGCTGAAGATGACGTAAACTTTAAGCTTATGTGACACAACAGTAGTTTCAGTAACACTAAATATAGCAAGGCATGAACAGCTAAAGGTGGGATTTATCCTGTTTCCTCTTCTTTAGATAATATGTTCATGGTTAACTATATGTGTCTGTGTACATGTGGCTCTGGTGACTGCAACCCTACAGAGGACTGCTGTTTGTACAGAGACATTACATAATGTTTGTCTGTCCTTGGGTGCTCAGTTGGAGGCATCTAAGTCACTTGACGCAAGTGTCCTCCCTGAATAGTGGCAATACAGTTAAAGAGAGGAAGAGCACAGGAGATATAATGCAGTATCACCCACTGGATGGGGTTTGTGAACTCTGGACACATTTAGAAAAAGGACTTGAAACAAATAATACAGTGTTTACTGTCTAAAATGACACCTATTTAAATTACATAGATTTTATTCCATGTTAAAAATACATTGATAAACACTGTCGCTAGCCAACAATGTCTTGTATGAATGTCAGTAACAATTCCAGTCCTGGTGCTGACGCTGTGCTCCACTGACTCACCGGCGGGGAGGTAACTGTGAATGGAAAGAAAAGCAAACATCTGAATAGAATATAGCAAAAAGGCAGATATGGTGTTCTGTTTGTCTTGATCACACTTCCAGTGCAGTTGTGACTATAGAGATTAGTATGTCCTTTTGTACTAAGGGGCTGGTTGTACTCCCATGTGGATGCACAGACAACGCGAACGTGTGGTCGTTCTCATATTACTCACTCTTCTGCTTGGAGGCTGCATTCCATGCATGCACAGCAGGTCGCCTTCTACGCTGTGAAAAAATAAATACATATAAAATGGTTGTGTGTTAAAAAACGATGAAGTAAAAAAAAAAAGACAACATCTATGTCATAAAAATGAGACTGAGTTCATCAAAATACATTTTCTAGCAATAAATTTACATGAAGTCATGCTTATTTTTTGGTTGTTTATTGTTAGATAAAGGATAATTACGAGTAATAAAACAATGAAATTACTTGTATGTATATTAAATATATGAAAGAAGAATTTTACTTAAAATAAAGAAATGGTTTTTCACTTTTAGATGTGTAGCAGACTGAGTAGGAGAACATTCCAGACAAGGCAAAGAGAATCCAGAGACACTTTCTCACAGCTGTAAATTTAGTAGGAGACCATTTGAAAAGACAGCTAGCTTAAAACTCTCACCCAGATGGACCATCTGCATATCAGATGTTTACTTCAGAATGACCACTCACAGGCCTCTAGGAGACAACAGGACGTCTCCTACCTCCACCACAATCTGACAAGGGTCATAAAATGTCAATTCTGAGCAAAACCACATCTCTGGAGAAGAGGACATGACACTTTTCATGATGACCTCCTGACCTGTCTCTGCCCCTATCACACAGAACTTTCTA